CTTTCAGATTCCACCACCTGCCATAGCAGGGGTTCGAACCCGAGTCCCCAGAACATTACCTGGATTAACAGTCTGGCACTAATACCGCTAGGCCATTGCCTCTCAGCATTCAGTGAGTCATCACGGTACAAGCATGTATAACACCCACATCCGCTAATCGTCTTTCTATGTCAATTATTTACTCAAAAACAGAAGGTGTTGGAAAGGTAGGACTCGACCAGCTCGATCAGTAATGTTGCTGCTGAACCACTCTTTGTGATGGATGTTGAAATCCCCCCCCACCCAGAGCATATTCTGTGCCCTTGCCACCCAAGTGTTGTTCAACATGGAAAAGTACTGATTCATCTGCTAAGGAGGGCAGTACTTGGTAAGCAGCAGGATGCTGCCTTGCCCATGTTTGACCTGAAGACAAGAGACTTTAAGGGGTCCAGAGTCAATGCTGAGTATTCCCTCCCAACTGTATATCACTGCTGCGTTGGTCCTGCCAATGTGACAGGACATGTCCAAGGATGGTGATGGCTAGGACATTGTCTGTAAGGTATGATTGTGTGTGTATGACTATGTCAACCTGTTGCTTGATTAGTCTGTGGGACACCCCTCCCAATTTGGTAAAATCCTCCAGTTACTAATTTACAGGATTGACAGGGTGGATTGACACCAGTCTGGGTCAATCTGACTTCATTCCTTTTCTGAGACACTTTAGCAGTTTGTTATGGCCTTGCCATTTCAGAGGCACATGTAGTCTAGACTGGGTAAAGATAGCAGATTTCCTTCCCTAAAATATATTAATGAACCAGATGGGTTTTTGGGAAAATCAACAATGGTTTCATAACTGTTATTAGACCTGTCATTTAAATTCAAATTTCACCGTCGGTCATGGTGGGATTTGAACCCAGTTCTGTTAAACATTGACAGGGTCTCTGGATTACTATCCCAGCGAAAATGCCACTACACATTGCCTCTGCCTAGTGATCCAGATTGTAACACTGAATTAACCGATCCAGTATTCTCATAACTGAGGTCAGAACAGTATGTAAATAATAGTCTGACTGGACCATAGTGCTGCTCTCTCACTGGAAACAGATTTTTATGCTGGTTTAACCTGAGGGTCAATGCCTCAAGTGAGGGGAGAGATTGAGAAGGAGAGTTGTTCACGATAACATCAGCCAGTGTTGGAATTGAACCCTCCCTGTTGGCATCACTATCCAGCTAATTGAGCTAACCTATCCTCATCCCAATGAGATGCAGCTAAAACAAGTGAAATGCCATGAAAGTAACTGAAGCAATAAAAAGGCAGATCACTATCTGTACTTGAAGTTCTGAACCATTATTTAATAAGGAAAAATCTCTGCTTTATCATTCTCCCAAAGTATTGCAGAACCAACAATTTACTATCCAGGTGTAAGCACTGAGTCAGAGCAGCATCTGACGAACAGCAAGTAAAATTCTTTTCTTTATAGTCTGAGCAGAAAGTAAATGTTGGCCAAGGCTCTTCTGCAATCATTACTTACCTTCATCCAAATAAGCAGACTGGGCCTTGCTTTAAGCTATCATTCAAAAGATCTCCAGCGATGCAAAACTCCCTCAGCACTACAATAGCATTTGAAAGGTCTAGGTGATGTACTCAAGTGTATCGTCAATTGTTGATTGAAATAAAAGGAGCTGTACACTTCAGTCGCTGTCTTGAGGAGTAAGTATTCAGTATGAGTTGCTAAAATCAATCGCTTGGGAGAGAGTTTAGTTTCAGGAGGGGGGAGATTGGCTGGAGAGAGCCACTGACATGACTTTCACTGTAAATTTCTGAGGTCGGAGCTTCCTCAGGGGAGGAGTTGTAATACACTTCTTCCCAATGAACTTAGACACTGTCTGCAAAAATCAAGAAAAAATAATAGTGTTGCCACCTCTCCTCCTATTCCCACATCTAAGTCTGGAAGCTCCCAGTAATCCCTGCCCTCCTTTCACCACATGTCCCTTCATTCCCATCCCCATATTGGCAGTTTGTCTCTTGACCTCAGTGCTCCCGTAGCCAGGGACAGCTGGTTGGATCTTGATGGCTGTCCACATGTCATCAGTTGGCTATGTCTGGGTAGCCGGTTGCTGACAGCTGGCTTCAGGCCAATAGCACACTGGCTGAATCCAAGTGCAGGAGACTGGTTTACAGAGCGTGCATGGTTGCTGTTCCCTTGCTCCCATTAGCTGGCTGCAGGCTGTCTATGGATGGGCTGGAGGTGACTCACTGCAAAGTGTCAACTTCCCCCAGAATTTGCAGCTGGCTATCAGTGCCTAGCTCTGAACTGCCTGCTATTGGTTCATTTGCTAGCTACTTGTGTTTCAGAGGCTAGTTGTGGTTTGGCTGGCCAGCTTTTAATGAAAGAAGCTAATTGTGAAAACCTACTTCGAGTGGCTTAATTGTGTGCTGTGCATTTTTCATGTCATGAAGCATTTCTGTATGTATAAATAAATTAGTTTGAATGCACTAGCAAGTGGGCTTAAGGTCGCTCCCAGTACCACATTCCCGGATCCTTTCCCGACAATGAGAGAAGATCCTCAGTATGATCCACAGTGTATCCCAGATTAGCAGCACCTAGCTCAGGAATACTGTAGTCACTTGTACTGGCCTTGCTCCCTTTGACTGGGATTAGCTCACACACTGTAAAAAACCTGGATCTCTCCTAAACTTATGCTTAATCATCACATCAGGAAATTGATTTGCAGAATAAAGCTTCTGTGATCAATTGGTGACCCCTAAAATGTTGATGATGGAGAATTTAGTGATCATGGCAGCATTGAAAGTTAGGGGAGATATTGGTCCGTTTGTTATCACAGGTAGAAATGGAAATACTCAGCAGGTCAGGGAGTGTGTGTGTGGAGAATTAATTATGACTTCATGTTGACTACCTTTCTCCATGTTTCTGTATCTACAGACTGCTGCATGATCTGCTGAGTTTTCCCAGCATTTTCTGATTTTAGTTTTGGTGCTCTTCATGTTGGAGATGGTCATTATTGATGAATTACAAGT